GAAGTGACTGCTTACGCAATTATTGTTCTTTTTTGTTATCTGATTATCTTGTTGATCTTGTTTAAAAAATATTCTTATCTTTTAAGTATTTTTATAAATGAATGAAAAACTACAATCTCACCCATTCAAAATTTAAAATCGAGAATGGGCGGTTCCTTATGAAAGGAATAGAGGAAACCCATATTCATTGGAAATATTTTTTAGTTATCTTATATTTGTTTGTTTTTATTGATTACCATTAATATTTTTCATATGGCCGGGGAGTCACCGTGTGGTATCAAAAGGGATGAATACGGGGAGATTATATCCACATATTCTAGTTGGCATTCACTTTAACCACAATAGATATTTAGTGTGATCTAATAATGTTCTCTTATTTCAAAGAAAGAATGCCGATTTTATTCAGATATACATTTTATTACCCAGCCTAGGTAACATCCCTAACATTGTTATTAAATTTTACATACTGAAATAATAAAATGATATTCCTTGGCAATGTTTACAGAGAAAGTGTTTGTTTTATTTACCCAAAAATTTTGGGGATAATCAGGGTAAAATATCAAAACCGTTTGATTCAAAGCGTTCTAAGGCGGTAACATATACACCCATACTTATATATGTTAATCATTGCTAACAATTACTTTAATTTAAACATTTTGTTACAAAAATACCAAACATGTATTTTTCTATCTGGAACACCCAAAATAGCAAATAAAACTGAAACAATCATTAAATTGTTTTGATATACGGCTTGGGTATTTTTCCAAAATCTCTCCCAAAAATAAAAGTAAAATTGTAATTTACGATGTTAGGTAATGTTTTCGGCTTAAACGAATTAAATAACTGAATGTGTCTACTTTCCAATATACTATGTATGTATGTCCGCATGTGTGTAAAAACCAAGCCCCCTCCCCTTTACACCCCAAAAATTGACGGCCACTGTTATGAAGATACATTTATAAGCGGCAATTTCGTTTAAGTGATTTGGGACTTGTGTGTGATTTTTTACCAACTCTTTGATTAATGATCGTTTTTCCAAAACCTTGCACCACAGCCATAGCAACCATAATTAAAAACAAATGAAGAAAATTAAATCCCCTAAAAAACATCATCAAAGTAAAAGCGAAGTTTTTTTTCGATTTATTTGTTTGTTTTAAAAGCAAAATTTTGCATGCAAATCATCATAATTAAATTCACCAACAGACGAACAAAAAAACACAAAAAAAAAACAATAACAAATATTCCAAGAATATTTTTGCATCACATAAACAACTCATTTCAAATTGCATGCTTGTGAGATGTCACCTAGAAAACACATAAGAACAAAAAAACTTTTTATAGGCGGCTTTTTTCCAAATGGCCAAATGTTGTCATGTTACCCGAAGGGGACGTAAATAACAGCGGCTAGCTGACTTGTTGCTTACAGGCAACAAGGTGCCTTATAATCATTTATGAAAAATCAACAGCTTAAATTTCAATGCAACCCACGTTTGAAATTTATGTTTTGTGTGTTTCATATGCAGTGAAAGAGGGCGGGCGGCTGTATGTTAGACAAGTACTGCATGTTACGATACAGCTACACTACATACAGAACTTGACTGCATTAATTTTCGTTCAAATTCATTTAAACAAATGGCAAGTGTCATGTCGGTCGGTCGGTCGGTCGACCGCATTCGGTCACAAAGAATATTCTTTCAGTGCAACACCACATCCCACAGGAGTTCTGTGGAAATCCACTTGAAGTTTCAGTTACATCGTCGAAAATTGTTCACTCATTTTTAAGCACGAACAAATAATGATTTCAAAGAAATATTTCAAGTTGCTGTTCTTTTACTGTTTCTCCAATTCTTTTTTTGCTTCTTCTTCTGCACAAAAATGGAATGAAACAAATTAGAAACATTCCACAATATGTTTGGCCAAGAAAGAAGCTAATTAGAGTTATTCAGGGTCACGGTCAAGCATTCATTAATCAGTTTTGAAGCATTTGAAAACAAATATTTCTTACTGCTAGATAATTTTATTTGCGCAAATACTTGTATATTTGCATTGGTTTTTAGATCTATATAATTATGGGATACAAAAACCAAACATCGAATTAGTAACCAGCATTAGCAGGATAATTATTTAAAGATCATAGAATGGAAAATAAAGGTGGATGAAGGCTCTGGGAAGAATTTAAATAGCCTTATTTTTGAGATACTTAGGCTCTGGTTTAGAATACAAGAAGGCAACCGTTTCGAAATGCTTCATATATAGCTCCACTTTGAGCCCTTTTTTGAGCGATTGAAAATTAGTGCTGGATCCAACGAAAAAAATATTTTAGGGCCAGATGTTTTTCAATATCAAATACGTGCTGGTAGAAGTTCCGTGACACCATCTGATATACCATGAATGGTCCCGGATGGTGGATGGTATCAAGGAACACTTTTAATATTACTAAAAATTATTTTAAAGTTCCATAATATGCAAGTAATTTGTATGATATCCTTTCCGATTACTTTGTACAATACAAAGTGATAAATTTGAATATATTATCTGATTAAACCTGTAACTGATAAAACATTCTAATTATATTTGAAAAAAATTATCAATCTATATCAGTATACATTTTTACTGTAACATTGCACACACACACACACCGATTTCTTCATTTTCAAATTCCAATTGTCGACATAGCCGAAATATCAGATTTCAATTAATGTTAGATTAACTTTGAATCACAACACAATGTTGAGATATCACATCACAAAATCGTTGTGCAGTTTCGTCTAACGTCGTCTTAATGTCTTTTTATGAAATCTCAAAATGGGGGTTTCAATTCCACGAGCTAAGTTGAAAGTCCGACAAAAAAAAGATAAGCGACAAATGTTTTGTGGTGAAGGGAACAATGAAATCTCAATTTAAACATGATATTCAGCGATGATAAAAATAGCAGCAGCAGCACAAAAACAACAACCATAACAATAAGTAATGCACAATAGTGACATACCTACATGGCTACATTGATTTGACACAGAAATGAAAAAAAATAGAATGGCCATAAGTGGCCCATTGAACATCATGATATCATATCAGGAAGGTAGCACCAGCTGCAACAACAACATCAGCAGTATCAAACTGATCATTGAAATTGAGCTAAACGATATGACTGATCCATGTGTAGACATGGTTTTTTTCTTCTTCTTTGAGATTACAACAGCCGATATCATTGAACAATAATATCAGCAACAAGTGAATTGGAATCATTCATCATTTTGTATGTAAATTAAAATATCAAATTTGTGTGTTTGTTGGTATGTGTTCCTAATTTGGCAATGGACCCCATTTATAAGTAGGTCTTTAATTAAGATCTACTAATGAAGCCTCGTTCATTTAGCATTTGAATAGACACCCAATTAAGTGAATAATATTTGTTAATATATCGACAATTTATTGTAAGATATTATGTGTGAATATATTAAAAACCATTTGCTACGACATTTGTGCTGACAAATTTTTTCAACATTTTACAAAACCAATAACCCCAGAATCAACCTACCTGATCGCTTCGAACATCGCAAAGTCTGAGTCTGATGAAGACAAATTGTGGACATCATCAGTGAACATAAGTGTAAATTACAATGATTAGGAGCCAGAGTGCCTTGTGTTTGCAGGCAGGTATGTGGTAGGAGCGGCGGCATAATCATCACAAAAGACTTTGCTTTGCGGACCCGGGTACATTTAATTTATTGGCTATCAAAGGTAACACAAAAGTTGCCACATTATTTTTTAATAATACCAATAGCTACTCTTAACCATATTTATGATGTGTGTGTTGGTTGTCTTCATTGTCGTTCACATCTTTCTTATGGTAGGTCGGTGGGGGTTTGATGTTACCTTTGAAAATGTTCTGTATGGAGCATTACGTGTTTTTTCTCACAGTGATGGGCAAATATGTGTGCTCATGTGACGTTTGAAAGACGCAATGTCAAATACTTTTTTTGAATAGCCATACGAGATAATTAAAAAAATGTATGTGAACTTTTAAATAAAATAAAAGACTTGGGGAGTAGTTTATTTTCCCATTCAAAAATGTATTACATTCACTGAGGCAGAGAAATGAAAAAGTTTGACAAAATCGGTTAAATTAAGTTATTTTATTTCACTAGTAGTTGGGACCAAACTCGGATTTGCAATGGGTTATCAGCATATGTTCTAGCTTGGAAAAAATGTAAGCAGCGATAAATTTTTATTAGAATGTTATCTATGGGTGGAAATGTGCAGTGAATAAGTCCAAAGAACATTCAACCATTCCTCGTGGTGCCTATTAAAAAAGTTTCTTACATCAATTGCACATGTTCGGGACTTTTTCATTACTCAAACACTTTAAAAATATTGTCTTTGTGAGTTTGTTGAGCCTTCTCTTGATGTAATTTTTTGTCGTGTCAATCGTATCGCCTGTTTTTGTCCAAAAATCGCGCACAGGCAAAGATGCCTGATGAGGGTCGTTAATATGCTGCAGAAGTCAAATTTTGTTGTTTTGAAAATCTAGTCCGATCAAACCAATGCTACATGATTTATTCATCACCAATACAACACCCTTTAAATACACTTCCAACATAAAGGTATTTTTTATAATTTGAATTTTGCACTTTTAAGTGATTGAATTTTAAACACCACTGTAACAATGTCCCATGTGTTCTTCCAGATATTGTTGTTTACCAATGTGTCCCCCCTATTTTAAATGCAACACATTAAAATGCCATACAAAGAGGACAACGACGATATTATGGTATTGGACCACTGCAACATCACACCACCACGTTTCCATACACCAAATAACCAGCCAACAAATATCTCTACAAGTGTTGTGTTGTTTTGGTTGTGTGTGCCTGCATTGCATTGTTGTCGACATAAAATATGAAAATCCGCTTTCACATTATGTTTGATATCTCTGTTGATAAATCATCATTCTTGGTTTGACTCAATATTGTTGTTCCTCACAGCAACAAGCCGTACACTCAACCAGCCAGCCATCCAGCCAACCATCCATTCAGCCCAGCTTGCAACTTCTGTAAATAATCTGTGGTGTTTGTCTTACTGATATTGAGCGCATTGCCGGTTAAAGCCTTCCGTTTGCCCTGGTATTCTTCACATGCCTGCGGGGCACAAGCCAACAAATAAGGCGGTTGATTCATGCTCAACATACACCCCGCTGCTGTACTCTGCCAGGGCGAATGATGAGTTAAGCAGTCTGCTTGAAATGTGCATAAGATGCAGATGCCCATAAATTGTATTGGCCATCGATGTTTCGTTTATAACATCTCTGACAGTCGCCTACCAAGGAGTCATCAGCTGTGAGGGAGGAACAACGGTAGAACAAAGTTGCATTTCGTCGTCTCTCGATCTGCGGATGAATGAAGTAACTCATTTTTTATAGCTTTATTTGCATGATTCTTTAAGTGTAAACAACACGTTCGATACCAAGGCCTGGGCAAAAACAATGACAGAAAAATATCCATAATACCCATTAAGGCTTGGTAGGCTTTGAAGGATGTTCTGCTCGTAACTGTGAATGACACTCCGAGAGGGAGAGGAGAAACGAAGCAAATCTTAGGTTTGCATGTTGTTGGGTAATTTCCACATATGTCGGTAGCCAAAATAAGCCACTACAACAATTTTAACCCACTTCAAGACGCAATGGCATCGTACAGTTAAATACCAAGGATTTACTTTTTAAACGTCCCTAATAGGGTTATAGAACTAACACAGATACTCACGCACACATTGACAGCAAAGTATTCAGCAGCAGGTCAATTGATATGCATAATTTGCTTGATGTGCATAATTATTGTATTCAAAATAATTATTTATGCATAACAATGATGATAATAATAACAGCAACAACAAGTCTGCATATCTTCAAAATTGTCTTATTTGCCTAGAGGCGGATTTAAAAGGATGCTTCATAAGGCTAAGGCATGTATTTAAGGCTGAATAAATAAATAATGATAATATGACTACTTTATTTTTAGTTGTATGTGCTCGGTACTTGCACATATAGGGACGAACAAAACATTGACCTAAACTTTACTAAGACAGTTTAGATTTGTCCTTCTTTTTAGAAAAAATCATAATTACAACAGGCAACTATTTCAAGTTAAATTCGGAATGATCTGATAATATTTAAGGGATTAAAATGAACAAAAAACTTTTTTCTGTATTTCTGGTCGCTCTAGAGGGCACAATTTTAACCCGAACCTCACAGAGAAAGGGGTATGGCCTTGGAATACGCATGACTGTTGCAAATCTGTCAATATATAATGGGTCAAATGGACCAAGACTTTTGTGTGAAAATTACAAAATTTCTATTCTATGGGATATATATTTACTCCTGAAGGACATAGACCCGAGAAGTTGATACTATATCCACAGTGGTAGTTGGCTTTTAAATTGATACCAATCATATTGTTGTATGTACTCGGATGTGGGAGATATACTTAAACATTTACTGGGGTCTACGTATTCTGATATTGCTTAATATTACTATTACGCCACTAGGGGCGGAAATCTAGCGCTGATCGCTGTGAAATTTTACATGAAGTTCCGGCTTTAGTTATGGATGATGATGTTGATATAATATTTAGGGCGTGCCATAAACCAACAACTTTATTTTTGTCAGATTTTCTAGTCGCTTTAGATACCATTGTTATATGCAGAACATCACGGTTGAGGCGATCTGACCAAATACTTAGATGATGATGGGTCAATATTCCGAATGTCAAATCAACCAAAACCTAAAGTGACTACATTTTATGTTATGGCGTAAATAATATGGATTAGAAAGTGTATCAAGATAGTACAAATATCGCGAAATATTGGTCTGGTACGGAAAATAGATCCGCAGTAGTATAGTCGGCCCAGTCCAACTATGCTACTCCGCTCACTGGTCACACTTTCCTTTGAAGGATTGAAGCGAGAAGTATTATTATGAAAGATATCGCATAATCATCATCTTCAAATTTATTTTAGAATTAGTTTTATGTACGGGTATATCTCCAACCAGATAACTTTCTAAGTTCTTCATTAGTCAAAATAGTATTGACTATTTTTTTTTGTGTCCCGATATCTAAAGTTATTCTCACGCATATATAAATCCTTTAATTCATAGTATTACATGCTATACCTAATATATCCGCATGTAAGTAAAAATATCAAACAACTCAATAAAATTGGATCATGCAACATTACGCATTTTAATTAGCCATAAACTGCAGATGGTTGTAATTATAGTCTCAAAACTTGTTTCAATATTAAATACTTGTACGACATACAATGTAATATATAAGTCAACGATATTGTCAATCAATAATAACAGCAGCACTTACTTCGATTGCAATCCCATTCCCATAATCCGCACGAATTTCCCACCACAAATGCCGGTGTGTGGCGTTATTTGAATTTTCTGTAACTGTTCTTCGATGTCACTTAGCTGTTGATCATCGCTAACGGTGGCATGCATCCAGACAGCATTGCGGTTGCGACATCTATTCAAATTTTGCAAACCCAACACCTTCGTAGAAGGTTCTGTCGTTTGCGAAGGAGAAGAAGAAGACGACGACGAAGAAGAAGTAGCAATTGTATTTTTGGCTAGCAATCCACTGCTGTCCTGTTCACCGGCACAGCGACCAGTTATCATTTCCAGCTCCAATGAAATAAGTGCATCTTCGTCTGGATTATCGTCCATGACAAGATTATGTCGTTGATTGTATTGAAATGCTTTAGCCACCGTCTGATGTATGACAGGCGTTTGATGGAACGTTGGCGAGTCGGTGGCACTCGCTTCGGAGTGTGTTTCACTGGGACATGAAATGCCCGATGATAGAATTGTGTCATCTGACATGTTCGGGACAAGTTTGTGGCCAACATTGCTGTTGTCATTGGTAATGATGCTCTGTTGGCTGGTAGTACAACTCAGATCATAGCTGATCAGACTGGATTGTTGCGAATGCATGGCGTCAACATCGCTGGTGCTGGAGCTCGTTCTGGTGCCGGTGCATTGGTAATGCGTTTGAGACAATTTGGGCGTTAGCTTGGTCTGCTGTGGCTGTGGCAATGATTTTGATGTCATGGCTGACGCTACTGATGATGGAGTAGCATGATGAATTTTTGCCTGGTGTTTGGTTAATTTTTTATTACTGGACTTTTCATTTATTCGATTTTGACTAGTTTTCGAGCATTTCTTTTGTGGCAAGCTCTGTGTAACTGCTGTGGTTTTGGATGCCGTGTTACTGGTACGATGATGCTTAGAACAGTTAGTTTTGGATTTTTTGGATAATGATTTATTGGGATTTATGGTCGGAACACTATGTGTTTGGGAAACCCTGGCAAAGGCACTTTTTTGTGAGGCATTGAAAATTGCTTTTGCGGTTGTGCCTGCTGCAGTGCCTGTTGCTGACTTCTCTCGACTTGTGGCACGTTGCGTGCCACTGCCGCCGTTCTGTTGCAGACGCCGACGACTACGCCTGATGCTGGGCATATTACGTGGAAATAATTTGGCAGCCTCATTAAGTGTGCACACGGACTTTTGAGAGTTGGAATCAAGAGTCGAGGATGAATTCGTGGAAGAGTATTTGGTGGAAAGGGATATTGTGGAGGCCTTATCATTAACGAAGGTGTCTGGCACTGGTGCCGACGTCATGTCACGACATGCCTTCGAGCCATGCACAATTCGCGCAGGCGTTGTGGTGGGAATGTCATGTGCACCACCGCCATCACCATTATCAGGCTGCGTATTTACAGTTAATAATTTCCAGATTTTCTTAGCGGCACGTTTGCCGAGAGTTGATTTTGGCGTTGCACTTTTAATTGCATCTGTGTTTGTCATTTTGTTACGTTTTTCTAATTTTCAAGACGCATGCGTCTTAGCTTTTCTCGTTATTGTTGTTGATGTTTAATTTAACAAACTTCTACAAAATAAGACACCGCCACAATTAAATTTCACTTATGTATTTTATGTGGGTCGTCGTTATCGCAGTCACGCGTTTAATTAGAAACACTAAATAATCGATTATAGATGACCATACACAACGGGAGATTCATGCGTCCAACGGACCCAATCAATTCATCGATCCATCAAATGATCAATTGTCTAATTATAGACATTAACATTTCATATTGTGACGCTACTACGCACATTCGACCGATCACCAACTACAACTACCGCCGCCACCGTATTCGTCTAATCATTTAATTATTTTCTTTACGCAAAAATGGGAAAACACCAACAAATCGTTTCGCAGAATTTCAGAGTGCACCACTTAGGTGTATTCTACAAGGCAGTATAGATAGACGTGCCCAAAAACCGCTTCAAAACAATGCAACAAAACAAAATATAAAACAAAAACACTGGCGCAAAAAAACACGTTTTAGACCGCAATACACAATCACTTCGTAGTGGAGTAACGATCGCGACACGGCTATCAGTTTTCACGTTAGCAAAATTTATGAATGAAAAAAGAAAAACAAACAAAACAGGCGTCGAACTTGGCTTAATTCATCCGCTGGCGATGCGTTTACGGCGGTGTTCAGCTGAAAACTAAAATAAACATGGAAATTTGTTGTTTGATCGCTCTACTCGATCGGCCCGGCCAACAAGCAGCGCCACCATTAAGATCTGGCTTAGATGTTGGCTGTTGTTGTGTTTACGAATTGTTAATCGAAAGAAAGTTAACAACAAAACTCCCCGCAAAACAGAGCTCCTAACAAGAGTCAAGACGATCGTCGTCGTCATCATCATCATCTTGGCCACCACCACCACCGCCAGTATGGGAAACATGGAATGTGTCTGCATGTTGTTATTCTACCACACAAAACACACCGGTTTGCAGAACTATGTTTGTTTATTTGTTGGTAGTTATAGTTGGCCAAAAGAAGTTAATGATCGTTAGAGTGGTGTGCGCATCGTTTAAGCCACTTTCATGCTCATCAATATCTCACTGGGGGTTTTCTCAGTCGGCATTCTCTCAATTGCTGCTCTCTGTTTTGAAGCAGACCTGTTTTTGGGTTTTTTTTTTTACTCAAGAGAGAGAAGATACACTTGTTGGATTTCATTCATTATTTTATGGTGAGTATCTCACAGATTGCATTGTTTTGAGTGGAAATTGTGTATGAACTCGAAGCGAGTGTTGCCAGATTTGTTGAATTTTCTACTTGATAGCCGTAGATATTTAAAAGAGGTAAATTAAAATACAGCGAGTCGAAGTCAAAAGCATCCACTTGGTTTTTCCACTTCAAAATGGCGTGAAGTACCGATAACTTGAAATTGGACAAACTAAACTATGTGATATTTATCTAAATGTGAACCGACATAGATCAACCTGCAACATATACAAAATTTTTCATGTCAACAAAACAAAATTTTTCATGCTTGTTTACAATTGGACAAAATTATGTAAATCGATTTAAAGCAAATCTCAACCGGACACCCGTTGATAATACTGAGCTCAAATAATATGAAGTATGTCTGTTATAACTACGAGTAATATGAATTAACAAAATGGAAATTAAATTTGCGGCCTATTTGTATTTCAGTTTGGTAGCTACTGATAAACATTTGGCAACATCGTTCCGCAAAATCAACTACACTAATTCCTAAATTCCACTCTCATTGAGTTATTTTCCATCCGACTACAATAAATAACACATGTCATTGCAATTTTTCACTTTAGAAATTATTACTATTGCATCTTGCACTGGTTACTCTCCTTCAAGTTCCCCAACAGCGGATTAAAAGTTGCGATAAACTACAAAAGCAACGACAACAACAAGAAGTATATCGAACGAAACCTTACAGACATTCTGACACAATAAAACCATTCGTTTCATTTATAATTGACCGATTTATTGTTGAAATTATTTGTGTCAATGGCTGTCAATTATCGACGATGAATTTATGATTTTCACCGGCAGGTGATAATCTTACCCTATGTTCGACTTTTCGCAATTTCTAGACGGATTAATAGGAATTCCTAAACAAAAAAAAAAAAAATAATGGGATTTTCTCAACATTTTCCTTGTGCATACCAAAGTGTAGTTGTGAAATTGTTATCGAATCTGGAGCATTGAGAATTTAAGTAGTCGGGACAATCAACAGCAGTAATTTGTGTTCTACATATCGCAACAAATTACATCAAAGCAGGGCAAATGGATCAATGTCCAACTTTAATCAGTTTTGATCAGTATTTTTTAATTTCCGAACATTTATGTATATTCTATTTAATAAATAAATGCATTTCAGATATGTATGATCATAGCTGCTCGCCTAGGGGGGCAGATTTGAACATAATGACTTCGTAATAATAATAAACTATTAAATCGAACTTAAAGTGTGTCATATGTGTATGTAGTGTAAAGGTTACCTATCACTTAAAATTTATAAAAACCCAAAAATTATAAAAAAAATATAATCTCTTGTCTACCCTTTTTCCAAAATTCTATAATTTACTTTAAACTCTTAATATGTATCCACATTTTTATATATTTAAATTTGCATAAAATTAAACATAAAATATTGTTAACTTTGACAAGTAAACATTAAATCTGCAAATAGACAAGATAGGATACCGCGATAAAAAGAACTCCGCACTAGGGAGATTTGCAAAATTCACTTTGTCGTAGTGTTGATAATTAATTGGACTAATTAGAAGACGACAACGTCAAGGCAAATACAAAATCACGTCTTAACTTTTTACTTACGTTTAATTAAATAAATAAACATTACTCGGAAAAGTATTTCAATTTGAAAGTGCCAGTGAAAAACTTTGAAACTCAATCCTAAACAAATGTTCGTCCCAATGAAAGGACCAGGCGACATACCATCAACGCACCGCACCACTCAAGTGAAATGGGAGCCTGGCAAACGTGAATGTTGCAAGAAGGAAAAGTTTTTGTTACGCCGGCCTCTTAAAAACAATAGCAATGACAAACTTCAAAACAATGCTCACAATGAATGAGAGAAAGACTGAAATTCAAATAAAATGTCAACATTTGACAATTGCTGTTGAGTAAAATTACACGTTGTACGACGATGATTTTCATCTCTCCCGTTTAGCGCGAAAAAAAAACATGTCACAAAAACATATTTTACAACAGATATGATTGTATGTATGTTTGTATTGGTGTGTCGTTAAGCACGTCTCTGTCGAACATCACAACACCACCAACATTGTGTTTAACGTCTTTACTCTGGGGGGAAGACTCTTGGGAGACCATGACAGGTAAAGTGTGGATTTTTCTCGTGGCTGGTTGTTCCGTTTCTTTTTTTCACATACGACTTACATATTTAACAATAACTGAATTGTAGAAAAGTAGAAAAAATAACTCCGACACATAATCATCATCGTCCACATCATTACAACGAGCGGAATCATCGTAATCAGTTTTATCACCGAGAATAACATCACATCGCCAACAACATCTGTAAACAACAGTGAAGCTGCTAGATAAAGGGGGAATCATAGAAATCAAGCTTACGACAAAAGCAATTTGCGACAGTCATAGTAATTTTATGTTGTCACGATATATACACATCCGAAGAGTTTTGGTTACTTTATTCAGTCAAAGGGTTTGCAAAGGTAGTATAAATCCATGTAAGTCGATTTGAGTTAGAGTTTCTCAAAGAAATTTTTATAAATTCTCCTTCATCGATAATGTGACACGGCGATTGTATCAGCATCAGCCAAACCACTCGACGTAGGCTTCCAAAATTTGGCTCACATATTTTTTAGTATTAAACCAGTATTAAACACCTTAGTATTAAACCAGAACAATCCATATTCACAAAAGCGTTAGCAAGGATCTGTAATGTAAATAGAGAGTATTCAAGGAATAGGAGATTTGAAAAATAAAATGTATAAGGTCACTGATGTTATAAATACTATTGCCCGCGGAGATCGACCGCTCCTGATTTACTGAATTCAGCCAGTGTCTATCGTGATTTTAACAGACAGCCGTCCGGCTGTCTAGAGCTCGCAATATACTCCTAGGATGTTTGGTATTGAAAATGGGTAGCCTCCACATAACGGTACCGCCTATAATCGAAATTTTTATGGGCCGATCTGCGTTGACGGCGAATATCGCCGTCGAATGAACCATGAGTTGTACCAGATATTCTCGGACGTATTGAGCTGCAGCGACTACGTTGGCTTGGTCATGTTGTGAGAATGGATGAAGATGCCCCAGCCCAGAAGTCATATAAAAGCGAACTAGCTGATGGTTCACGCAGAAGGGGAAGACCAAGAATACGATGGAAAGATCAAGTAGAAGACAACATTGCCGAAAATGGTCTTTCAAATTGGAAAAACTGCGCAAAAGACTGACGCGCCTGTAAATCTTTTCTAAGCTCGTAAGTAAGGGTTCAAATTTTATATCTGGAATTCTAATTAAGCAGAAAATATCCCTGCCTAAAATTATTAATTTATAACAACTAAATTTTGTCTAAATGTACTAAGATGTGTCTATTTCCAAATTCTGGGGATCATTCTTGAAGGGCAATATCCATTCGACTTCAATCTAAAACTTATTAAAAGAATAAGCTGTCTCGCATGTTAGCCCTGCCACAACACACCCTTTGGAATCCAAAACAGAAACAAAAAACGTTGAACGGTTTGTTAGACAAGTACTTCATACATATGTTAAGATTTTGTCCTCATCTCCCCCACGTTCATCCGTTCATTATTACAGTTGTTTTTATGTTCCACATTTTCATTCGGAATATTGTTGTTGTGTTGTTTTTTTTTTTATTATTTTTTTTTTTTTCATTTCGAAAACATTTTGAGAATACACCGTTTGCAGTTAAACAACATTTACACAAGTAATATTGTACAA